CTTAAAGTTGCTTATACGCAGTGTTTGAAAACAAATAACTTTTGGGTAAGATACATATATCATTAATGATGTCATGTAGTGAGATTTTAATAACTAAATATTAAAAAGTATCAGTCTGTGAACTATTCATGCTACTACATAATAAAGTTAAATGGACTCTTCGTATGAACTTGAATAGTGCTCTTTATTCCACATTCCAGGTACTTTTGCTCCGCTTGTTAGGATTGTAGTATAACTTAGAACCTACCTAAAAGAATCTTACTACTTACTATAATAAATGTGAAAGTTTGTGAGTATGGTTGTTTGTTACTCTTTCACACCAGAACGGCTGAACGGATCTGGATGAAACTTCGCACAGAGATAGATTATAGCCTGGAATAACACATAGGTTACTTTTTATCCCGAAAAATGTAAGGTACCCGTGGGATAGGTTTGTTTTTGTTTTTGTTTTTTCTAGAGGCGAACCCGAGCGAAGCAAGGGCGAACTACTAGTAGCCTATAAAATGATAAAGGATATTTCAAATCAGACATTTAATTCTAGAAACTAATTCAAAGTAATAAAAAATAAACTCTTCAGCTTATTTATAAATACGAATAATGAATTATATATTTTGGGTATCAACATGTAATTAAATTAAAAAAAGACCCAATTATATGTAAACATTTTATTGAAAAAATGCATTAGACATTAATACTTTAGGTATAGTGGAGAACATTCTAGTTTTTCTAATACAAATCGGAAATTCCATGTACGAGTATGTATATATTTATAGAATTTAAGTTTTCCCGACCATAAGATTTGTTGATTTTCGATCAAAATAAACCGAGTTAAACTAGCTCAAACATACCATACCATACCTTTGTTTTAGTTATACCATGTTCTTTGTGCTATTTTGCTCATTCTACGCTAAGCTTAAGTCATGATCAGATCATCCGACTCGTTCATACAGATCTCCTAACTGCCTTTATAGTATTTCTAGGTATGGACTTCTATAATGTGCATGCTTTTACTTACGACCGTTTTTGTGTAGGCTATTTATACTTTATCTTCCATAAAGAAAATAAAAGATATAGACGAACATAGAACCTATTCCTTTTTGGAAGTTGGTTAGAAAGTCATAGGTACGCATAAAAGCCGGGATCAGTTCTAGCTGCTAAAAAAAGTTAATCTAATACAGGAATCGAAATTATGACCCTCTAGACTTAGTGATTCAGACACCTTCTCTAGGCTATAATCGTTATAGGGAAAAAAATTTTTATTACTGTAAAACTGTATTTTTTATTAGAAAACATAGATTTTTTGTTGAACTTTGATAGTACGGTTATTATAGTACCTAATGGTGCTAGACGTTAGTACTTATACTTTATATATTGCTTTTACGCATAAAGAAATCTTATTACCTGTAAAGTGCTCCCATCGAATGTTAACGAATTCTCCAAAATTATATGAAATGCAGCTAATAAGTAGACATATATTACGTACATCTCTTGAAACGTATGTATGTATGTTATATGTTTAGAAGCGTGTGCTCATTAACATGTCGCAAATATCACTTTTAATATTTCGAAAAAATCTGTTTCCAAATTTTTCCTTGACTATTGACACTATAGCCCATAGCTACTAAACAAAAACAAAGAAAATTACTTGATAAACAGAGGGATAGCATACGGAACTGTTTTGTTTTTGCTTATCACCTCCAGGTAAATTTCTAAGGAATTAATTAACTTTCTAAGAAATCTATTATTAACTGTAACGCCGGCGTGTCCGCGATCGTGGAGGAAATATTTACATATACATAGATGATCAGATTTTATTTAAAAAAGAAGGGCGTGGTGTGTGTTAACTAAGGAAGATTATAAAATATCTAATAAATATTTTGGGACATTAACACACTGCTCCATCTAGTTCCATGGTAAGCTAAGAGGCTTGTGTTATGGATACCAGATAGTTGATACACTACACATATATAACTTTAAATACATACATATTATAAATATAAACATTCATGACTGAAGTACAAAGTATTCGTGCTCATCACACAAATGAATGCCCCCAGCGAAACTCGAACCCGCGACCGCTGGCACAGCAAGTCACAACAAAACTAGCCAAAGTGTCGTCAAAAATTATATATGTATAAGCAAAAGCTACTTATATATGTAGTTTTCAATACTTAATACTAATATATAAACGGGACACCATAATTTCCTTGTTATATATAAATAGAATATAAGAAAGATAATAATAGGGACGAACATTTATTTCCCTAGAGAGTTACAGTATTAACTCTACGTACTGTTTGCGTGTAAATATAAACATTGTATGTTTGTAAGAACGTCTTTAGCACTGTCACATGCGTGGAGAATTTATTAAAAAGATTACACCTTAACTGACTTTAAAAATGAAGAATTCTGTTTGAGGAAGGAATTTTTTTGATTTTGAATTGCTGCTATTTTTTGTGTTTGTTACAAACGTACTGTCAATCTCTATAGAAACTGCTCATAATTTAGTTTTTTTTTTAATTAAAATCTAAAATATGGTTCGTTGTGTAGCCTTTGGTTGTAAGGAAACAAATGTAGGATATCAGAAAAAGCCAGTATCATGGTTATAAACTTATATATTTTAACAAGTGTTCGTTATAATTTATGAGAAATAACTTATTCCTCAACATTTTCTTTTTTTATTTTGCTCCAGTTATAATCATCGATCGCATCCACCCACGTCAACTCCCCGCCGACCAATTCCCACTTTCTATTTTTTATTTTATTTAAAAAAAAATCGCTTGACCAATATTGTCATTTTTAATTGTCTGACTTACATAAATCATAATTTGTGTAATATTTTTAATTCTTATTTTTGTTGACACCTCACGTCGTTCATTAACGTAACTAACGTTCATATCTAATGAACAAATCAAATTAAGTAACAATATCCTGGAGACAGAGACATGACAATTTGATTGGGATCCATCAGACCCTTAAGCCAATTGCAAAATAGATTAGGATTCAAAGGAGGATCGAACATATATAACGTAATATCATTTGAATTCCATCATTCTTTTAAAAAGATTATTTTATATGGCAACTTTAACAAATTGGTGATAATAAGATCGGATATCTATCTATACTACTACTATTATGAAGAGAAAAAAAATACTTTTTTGTACATTTGTACGTTTGTTTGTAATGGATAAACTAAAAATCCGCTAAACTGATTTATATGAAAATTGTTATGAAGATAGTTTGAGACCTTCGGAAGGACATAGGATAGTTATTATCCCGAAAATCATCCTTCATAATCTCATGTAAAGCTTGACATCCTCTACATCCCTTGGGATGTCAAGCTTTACATATGACAAGGTAAACCTCGTAGAGCAAGAGTTATAGATGTAAAGATATTGTTAACATAGAAATCATATTTTTGTATGACGAGTGTGATGACGAATCATTGATGATGGAGTTTTTGGATATATCTACTTTATTTTGATTATGTTCATGTATTCAGCCTTTTTTAACGTTCCACTGTTGGGCACGGGCCTCTCTTCAATACGAGGAGGATCAGGACAAAGTCCACCACGCTGGCCATGTGCGGGTTGGCGGAAATTTTGATTGTATTTCATACATATTATAACTGATAATTTATTTTTCTTATAAAGAAACGATAGTGTTATCACATTTACAAACAGTTTTATTTAAATTAAAATTCGGAGACAATTAATGAAAACCGTACCCATTTATGAGGACAGCGAAAACAGGAGGGTTGGCTTTGCTGTTGTATCCCGGTTTTCTTTCTAATAGTAGAAAAGGGTATGTAGGTAATAAAACTTTATAGTCTACAAGTGACTCACCCTCGCTTCGCTCGGGTTCGTCCCTAGCTTGCTTCCAAATACAAACTTTCGTCCCCATTTCCTCCCCCTTAAGGGTTGATTTCCGGGATAAAAAGTCCCATACTATGTCCTTCCCAGGGTCTCAAACTATCTTCTTATCAAATTTTCATCTAATTCGGTTCAGCAGATCCAGAGATCACCTCCTTGAACGTCACAAACTCACATACTTTACCTCTTTATTATATTAGTATAGATGGGCATGTTATTAACCAACTTCCACAAAAGAAGAGGTTTTTTTCTGTATATTCACCGATTTTTATCTTTCTTTTTTTAGATAATAACACAGTTTTGGTATTTAGTTTAACATTTTAAATAATAGTTTTCTGTAGAAACATTAATCCTAACGTTTAAAAATTAAAGGTGTTATAAGTTAATAGAAATATATAATAAATTAATAAATTGTTAATATTGTTGTAAATTAGTAAAAATTATACATAATACAATATTAAGATTCACTTTTTAACTAAAAAAGTTACGTTGAAGTAATTACTGTGTTTATTTATTTAGGATAGCATCACACGTCAGGTATAAAGTATTTGTAATAAAAAAATATAAAAATCTACTCCAAAAGATATCACGTAATATCTACATATATATATATATATATATATATATATATATATATATATATATATATATATATATATATATATATATATCTATATATACAATCTCTGTTTGTCAACCGGTTTTCTTTTTTTCGTTTTTCAGTGTTATCAATAAAACATATGGAAATAGTTACTTTTCTATATATACGAGTATCTAGATAGGTAAATTCTATTCCTATATGTTTTACTGAAATTTTCTATACCAGTATAAAAATATATACTTACATCTGAATAAATAAGTAATAAATATCTATTCCTTCTTGAAATCGGACAAAAACATTATTAAAGCTCATAGGATTATAATATATAATATCCTTTTATCTTGATTCAAGATCGTTTTAGAGAAGACAATGCCATCATTTAACTATTAGAGTACTAGTATGAATGAACCGGGTCTAGGGAAGTACTCTCACTGAATAGAACTAAACTAGGGCTCGGGACTAAGGTTGGTACTATAATGCTCGCACAGAAACGAATCATTTAGAATATATTTTTTATTATAATAGAAATGTTAATAGTGCAGTTAATCGGAACGCTTGCATCCTATACCAAACGTGCCAGCATCTCTAACCAAGAAGATTTAGAAAAGAAGAAGGAAATTAGGAGCACAGGAAGATATAGAAACCAATCCGAAAGCTGGTATCTAACATCCAAAAATACCAGCATCCCACACCAACATGACCAGAAAGCACAGAAATGTGAAGAGGCAATCGGAATGCTAGCTATACCAAAAATGTCAACATCTCTCACAAAGAAAATCTGAGAGCGCATCACCAACTTGTAACTCAACTGCTCATAAAGCTCCAAACACCAGCTTGAAATAATTTCATAAATGTTCTTAATCCTTAAATTTGAACGCGAGATTTAACCTTAATTAAAAAAAATAACTAAAAATGAAACCAAAACTCATAAAAAGGCAAAAAAAAATCTGACCAAACTTCTTTGTTTTTTTTTGGATTTCTCTTTTTGAAAAAAAAAATGTAATTTCTAATTTTCTGCTTGATTGTTCTTAAACCGTACTGCGAGAGCGTGACTCTAGGTACTCATAATATCCAATAAATCATCATATATTTTTCATTTCATATTACAAATTAATATTGTAAGCAATTATTATCCATTAAAGTACTTGAACCGTTCACAAATTCTAATATACTTTACATATTTTCGTGAAGAGGTATTGAAATAAGATATAATATTTCTAAGCATATCAAAGTAATGTAATTGACATAAATCATTAAAGACGGTCGAAATTTCCTTGAAATTTTTTTTTTTGTTTATTTTAAATCGGCTTGAAACAGAATTTTGTGACGAACGCTTTACAAACGCGTCAACGACGTGCGTACACTAAACGCGCGTATTTCTACTTAATCCGCGCGTATTCTATACTTACTGAAGAGCCTATGTGTACTCCGTCCGATAAGCAACCGACGATACTTATTTAATATACACTACCTGGGCTACCGAACTTCGCTCGAAGTTTTTGGCCTAAAGTACAATTTTCTTTTTTTTAAGACGTCGGTGCCAGCCTACAATATTTTAAGATATGAATATCTAATAGGTAGATATTATACATTTTACGTATCGAAATATATTAGATTTGCTTTGCATCGGCTGGCACCGACTTCAAAAATATCTGATTATGTATCTATTCTAAATGAAAACCTCCGTTTAGTTATTTTTTACATTTAAGTCGGTTTTTTTTTTGTTAAAAAGTTTTATGAATATGTATACATATTTTGTAATTATTATAATAATTAAAATTATAAGAAAAATAAATTGATTTTATTAACGGTACTCTATTTTTTCTTAATTTAATCCATATTTCGTTTCTTTAATTTTAATATTTATATAGATGTTTCAGATCTGCTGAGCGTCTCGCGACAGCCAACTTTTTTTAAATAGAAAATTGGCACCAAAGTACGATTACCAGTACCAATACTTTTTAATTTTAAATTCGTAATTTTCATATTACCAAAATAATGAGTATATTACTGACTGACAATATTACAAGAAAGTATGGATCAGATTTCTACGCGGGATATTTTCTTTGGCGAAATGTTTGTTCCTGTTTGTATAGGGCAAAGTGGGAAATTAGAAACCACTTATTCGTACTCAATATATGTATAATAATCTTATAAAGTAAGGAACAGAAGTAGGGATAGGGGCTGAAAACATGATTTTTTAACTAAAAGGTTTTATTTCTTTCAAAATTAAGCTCCGAAATGTTGATTTTTTGTATAGGCATGGGATTACTAACAAAATGGTTTGAAAATATCTTTATGTTTAACATAGGCGAAAATATCGCGTAGCAATCACAAACCGTTATTTACGTACCCGTTTTAACAATTCTCAATTTTTGATGACGGAAAAACGTATAGTATTAAACGTAAACGTGGTTAAAAAAATATATAATTTTATTGCATATTCTTTCTGTTATCGCTTCCTAGTAGAACTCGAACCCTAGATATCCAGCATAGAGAAAGGTTCTACTATATTTACGCGAGACGTAATCAAAAACAAAATATCAATTTAAATATAAGGTTGTAAAATCGGTCAAGTGCGAGTCGAATTCGCACACGAAGTGTACCGTACCATCGTACATGTACTTTTTATTAATATGACTTTTACTCTATGTATGCACTCGTAGTATATCAACTTCGATGATCGAGTACGAACGTTTAAAAAATGTTTCTTGTGTTTTTATTTTTAATTATTCTTACTATGTGTTGTTATAGCAGCAATGGAAATACATAATCTGTGAAAATTTCAAGTCTCTACCTATTACGGTTCATGAGATACAGCCCTCTGACAGACGGACGAACGGACGAACGGACGGACAGCGGAGGCTTCGTAATAAGGTTTCGTTGGCACCCTTTGGGTACAGAATCATAAAAACGCTAAAAATTTATATTAATTTGTGAAAACGTCTGCAAACAATATTTCAAGATAAATTAAGGATTTATTATTAATACCGAGATTAAAAGGTATTTAACTTGGGCAGTCTCATCTGTAACCAAGAAAATTAGCTGAGAATCAGTAACGAACCAAGGCAAATATATAATTAAAGCCAAAAATGGTCGAATATTTGTATCTTTAAGTGAGTTAATGAATTTTGACTAAGTATATTCATTAAAATTATACTTTTGTTAAAAAAACCTTAGACATTGTGGTACGTATAAGGGGTCAAAATAAACAAAATAAGTTTAATACCGATAGGGCTCGTACAAGTAAGGTGTGAAATTTAAGTGGACTCTATATAAGATTAAAGGGTGCGTAAAAGTTATTTTTTAACTTCATGTATCTACATACATACATATGTATATTTGGTGTCGTTGGCTTTCATAAGTGTTTTGGTTCCTGACGATTAGATTCAAAACTTAATTCATCGAAATCCGTTCAATCCCTAAAGATGAAGGAGCAACAATCATACAAACTCTCGCATTTTTATCAGTAGTGTTTTATATCAGCAATGTGTTAATTTAAGTGGGAGTACTGTTATACATTTCTGTTTTATCTAAATAAAATCAAAAATCAAATCAACCCTTACTTTGCCAGGTAAAAGCCAATACGGCAGAAGATCAAATTTTGTTACATTCAAAGAAAATTCACTCTCTTGGTGAAATTCTCTCAAAATGTCCGCTTTTATTTCAGATTGATTTTATGCACCTGTTCAATAAAGTTCTATAAACTCATCTTTAGTTTTGGTAAAAACAAAGTAATTCTGTACATTTTGATTAGGTAATTGGAGTATAGGTTTGTGATTTCTAAACCTTAATGAATAATCAAATCCTAAATTTCTTTTAAAAAAATGTAATTTCGTCAGTCCATATCAGAGTTTAAAGCTAATTACTTCTAATTTACTGACTTCAAAAGGAGGAATTTTTATTTTGCGTACATTTTTTGTGTGTTACTATGATTCCTTGCATTGAAGTGAGCCTTTTCCCAGCGGTGGGTCTTTTAAAAACTGTATATAATATAATAAATCTAAAATTTAGAGAAATATGGGAGTATAATATAAAAAATGTATGTAATCCTTTCTGCAGCCTCTTTTCGTCCGATTGAGACACTGGTATTATTCACACCATTTTAAAATTAATATGGTGATCAAAAAAGCTGAATGCCTCACATTCTCTTTCTCATACAATATTTACATTTCCGCTCAAATACACAAACGACCTTCACAAATGAAAATAGTAGTCTATTAAATACATAAACAAAATGAAAATTATAGATTGTAGATAAAAAGAAATAACTTTCCCATATTTTACGAAGCCGAATTAAAACTGGCTAACATAAAATACGTTAAGCACTGGCTGGTTTCCAATTTTACCTTAATGTGGTCATAATTTGCATCACTGTCGGTATTCTACGATGATTTTATTACGAATATTACCATACCTATATATATAATTAAAATTTATGTCTGTCATATGATTACCTACTGATTACATTTAAAATTTGTTGTCGATCTGTTTATTTTAAAAATCAAAAAGAATAGCTAAAAGTCTTTTAGACTGGAGATACCTTTAATTCTCATAGCAGAATGAGACGACAATGGAAAAGTTTCCATTTTTTGTAATGGATTAATTATAAAAAAATAATTATAATATAACAAAAATATGGACGAATTATTAAAATATCGTAACCAATAAGAAAGTTATGAAGCTTTAAAGATGTGTTTGTAAGAATAATTTTGTGACGTCACACGACCTGAATGACCGGAATTCAATTTAACACCTCTAAGTGACGCAAAATAGGCGCGCAGACGTCGAGTTGTGGAAACTGGCCCGTCTTATACCATACCAACACCTCTAAGTAAATTTCTAAGAAATTAATTCTAAGAAATCTATTGTTAACTGTAACGCCGGCGTGTCCGCGGTCATGGAGGGGTTTTTCTCAGTCATTTATTGATAGATTTCAAATTTTTTTTTACTGATTTATTAGTTTTTATCTATACATTATAATATGATATATAGTATAACACCATTGCGTTAAATATGATATTAACATTATGAAACTTCTGCATTTAACACGACCGGTGGAGATCAGGCGCAGCACTGCAAGATTTACGAGCTACCTCAGGAAAGATACGAGTAATTCTTAACAAATATCTAAATTAACTCTTTTAAACTGACTAAAAAATATAATTTTTGATTAATACCTATTATATAATATCGGCTTTAATACATTTAAAATATTTATTTATACTTACAAGTGAAATCACGTATAAAAGCAAGTATAAAATATAGCGAATATGTAAAATTTTATTGTAGCCATGAATTGTTTTCAAGTGTCATTCGTATGATAATTACATACGTTGATTTAATCCAGAATATATTGTGCTTCCTTTTGTTAGTATCTTAAACAACTTTAATTCTAATTCTAATCTAAAACATATTTAATTTTTTGACTGACTTAGATAAGTAAGAGGTACTTTTTTTAATGTTGAAAAAAACATTACATATACAAGCGGAATCTCAACCGTCCTAATGGGGCATCAAAGGACCGCTGACGCAGCCAGCCACGACGTCCCGACGGCTGCCTGTCGAGGCAAACCACAAATACCATGGGGTGGCTCTCATGGTCCACTCTATTATCAGCAATGTTATTAGTGTACCATGAGAGTTGTCCTCGTGGTACACCCACCGAAGTGGGCTACCCCTTAGTGTATCTTGGCTTCGCGCCCGGCTGGATTGATGTACGCTTATGAGTACCCCCACTACGCATCGGTGAAAATCAATTTATTATAAATACCCAATA